AACATTGCATTAGCAACATATTTCAGTGATTTTGTGCAACTAGTACTGTCGAAGATCGATGACATTCTGGAAGATCGTAAAATAATTACTGACGAAAAAGTCGATCAAGTTAATAATGCTTGTAAAAATGAGCCAGGATCAGAGTCCATCTAATTGATCCCAGACTGGATCCGAATTCGAAAACTTTGGACCCAACGGACTCTAGCCAGGATAAAGTGTTCGGCCTATGTAACTCTTCTTCGTAGAACTGTTGAAAAAATTGTATCTTGTGTTACTTTGATAAGAGATGTTTCGTCATAATTCAGTAGTGTTGTTGTTTGTAGTAATGAGCAAGCTCGTGCAATAGATTGAATACTTGATTCTGACTCATTTTTTTTTTTGTAAGTATCATTAACTTCTGTAGACACAGACATTTGATCTGAAGAATTTAATGAATATGTGATCCAACTGTAAAAAGAATATTTAAATGCTTTGAATTGCTCAGGAGTTATTCACTGTTTTTTTTTCGTTCAGACCTTGGAACACCGTGTATTATAATGAAAGATAATTAATATATGGTCTGTGACGTTCCCATAGTTATGTCTGTCAGGAGAGGTCCAAATTTTTACCCCAACACTTCAATACTCCTTTTAGATTGTATTTCACAAAATAAGTTCTTAGCAATTAAAAACGAGTTTACCATGAGTGAACTGAGCTTTTAGCAAGAAGAATGTAATTCCAGAAAACATGGTATTAGTACAAAAGAATTTATTATCATTAGAGATGATCTCCTATTAGATCTAGTTGAATTATGAAAATCACGACGGATATTATTACTCACTAAAAATGTTCTTAATTGACAAAAAAAAAACTATATATCCGAACAAATTATGTATATAAGGATATATATTTCTATGAGAAAATATCAGACTAATGTTTTTATTCTATCTTTTTAATTTTCACTCAAAGCGAAAGCAGAAATAAGGCATTTTTATTCTTTTATCTTAGTTTCATTATAACAGTGATTTTGTTCTTTCTATTATTTATATTAGATATTGATTCTGCTCGTCGATTACGTGAAGAATTTTCTAAAATATGTTTTGAAACATTACTCAAATATTCATTCATAAACGATTCATCATCATCAAACGATAATATTGTTATAACTCGTCTTGCACTTAGTTCAATGTTAAATCGTTGTAAAGAAATTTTACAAAAATATGCACATGATGAACGTCTACATGGCAAATGTCCATTACCACGGTATGAAAACTTCTTTAGGGTTTTCTTTTTCTTGAATTTAAAAGAGAAGATCTTTTGTTTTTCTTCGATAAGTTAAATAGTAAACATACAAATTATTGAGTGAGGCTTGAAATGTTGACTTTTTTGCAGTAGTGATAATCTTGAACCAGTTGCTGGAGCATACAATTACAATCACAACAGCTTAACTCCTTTTTCGTAAGTCTGTTTCTCCCTTAAAAATATTTAAAAAGCTTTTATAAAAAAAAAAGCCAAGCTAAATACGACTTTATAGCACTATAAATGCATGCTAATATGCACACAAAATTTCATTTAGAATTCTCTAGAAAAATTTCTATGCTATTATAAACAAAATATAAGAATAAAATATTTACTGTAATTAATAATTTTTTTAGAGCTTAGAATACTAAAAAAAACAACCAAACATTGAATGGGCATTAATGCATGCTAAAAACTAGTAGCAGAATATAGAATCGAGATAAATATGCGATTTGAATTAGCCTTTAATAATGCTCCAATCAGGTGTTTAGTTGCATTGTTCGATAGAAGATTGAAGTGTGTGAGTTCATCTTATTTTGAATGTATTGCTGTTTATAGTATCGATTTCATATTAATTATGAATAATATTTTTTTTAGGCCACGTACAGCTGAAATGATTTCAGTACTTAAAGCATTAAGCACGTTAATTGGTGCATTAAAACGAGCTCCAAAAGATTCAGGTATAAGTTTCTATATTCAAAAAATTAAAAATAAATTCATTTCTATGTTTTAGTTGAAATCAATATATGGCATCAGTTAATTGCATTATATCCGTGTCTTGTTGAATGTACAACATCACCATCTCCACAAATTTGTAATGCAATTAAAGATACATTGCATCAATATTTTCCACTTTTAACACCACCATCTTCAATTCGATAAAACAAAAACAGATGAAATAACAACATATAAACTGTAGTTTTTCTCCGGTTTTATTCGTATGTCTTTGACTAATAAATATATTTTCTATTAGTATATGTGTGTGTGTGTATGCCTAACTGATTGTCTGTACTATCATCTTGATCTGTTTCTTTCTTCGAAATCTCATTTTCGAAACGATGTGCTTCGTTTTCTTTTTTTTTTTTCTTCTTTACATTTTTCGTTCTTATTCATTCATTTATTTATTTCTTCAAAATTCTATAATTTGTTATTATGTATAAAACAAAAAAATTCTTTCACAACATTAAACATAGAGCATAAATTTCTTGCATTCTTTTTTGTTTATAATATCATTATCATTTGAAGACCAACAAAACATATTTGTTTACACTCATTAATTTTGTTTTCTGTAGAAATTAATTTACAATCATCTTGACTTACTGCGGTAATCAATTAAGAAAACATGAACAATAGAAATTTCATGATGAAAATGAAATATCGATATCATGTTTGTCGAAAATCCTGATGAAAATTAATCAGATCAGCCTACGTTACATTAATGAGAATATTGAAGAAGTTTAAATCATTCAAAGATAAATCTATAACTGGTGAGATCAAGTATCTTTTAATTTTAATCTAAATATGATAAGCCTACTTCAGAGAGTTTAACATTCTATTGTAAACTATATAGAAACCCATGTGATTCGAACTGGATAAGAATCATCGGTAGATCATTCGGTGTAAGGTGCGCTATACAAGCAGTTAGAAAGAACAAGAATACCCTTGTCTTTGAGCTACCTTGCAATATGCGATGTTTCCTAGTGACAGATTCAATAGCTCGATATTTTCTCTACAACTATGTCTAGCTGTAACTCTGGACAGAAGGCCAGCCTGATCACTAACTAATCACAAGAGCAGGGGTATGTCACAACATAGCGAGTATGCTATTCGACGGATGATTCGAAACAATAGCGGTTAGTGGCTTGTCCCGAGTCATTCCATGGCTCATGATACTAAGGTTTGCACACACACACTACCTAGTGGATATGTGTCGAACAATGTAGCCACTCAACCATGGTGGCTTCAACGGTTAACCGGCAGTAGTTTGGTACTTGAATGGTTGGCCATTGTCTGACTGACAATCTATTGATGTTATATCAGTGGTTGTGCGAATAAACGTATGAGATGGGAATACACTAATATAGTAGTTGGTTTTACTAACCTGAATTCAATACTATTACTTATTTCTGAAAACATATTTTTCTTGAACAACATAGTTAATAGAACCCTGTTGTGTATTCTTTTTTATATTGTGTTTTCTTTTCTTTAGATTAAGTATCAGTGAAATAATTTAGCTGCTGAGAACAACAACTACACAATAAGGTATGTTATAAAAATATCTAGCTATATTAGTATGGAGCTTTTTGAAAGTAAGACTAAAGGTTTTTTGTTTTGGCAAATTTTGCCATATAATCATTTTTCTTAAGTGATCTAGGAAAACGTTTAGATAAGAAAATTTTATTAAAATCATTTGCTCGAGTTTTCCTTTTAATATTTAACAATTTTCATTGTTAGGTACTACTTTCTTATAATAATCGCACACTATTGTATCTACTTCAACAACCAAGTAATTAGAAATTATTGTTTCAGTTTAATCAGAAAAAAAAATAATGTTGAATCTTGTTAAAGTAAATTAGTTAATGCTTTCATAATCGAAAGAATCATTTTTTATAAAATGAATATTCGGATCATTGGGGATTTCCAATATATATGAGCCAACATACATGAGGAAATATTAACGTATAAACATGAAATAGTACCATCTATATAAGCTCGTATAATATTTTTACCACTATAATCAATGAGGTTAATTGATAGTATCAATTGAAATTTCATGTTAGGAATAGTCCAACAAAAAGATAAATATGCATTAAACCTTTTCTTTTTCAATCAAATATATTTATTATTCTAATGAAAAACTATATAGTAAATTTCTAAATAGACTTAAGATTATTTATCAACTTTATATTGTATCCATATTTCAGTTCATTTTTCGAATATTTCAAAGTTTTCTTTACAATCAACATTTTAATATTTACTTACAATATCTTTAAAAAGATCTAAAAAAGATCTGCTTGAAAGCATTTACGAAAATTTTAATAGCAAACACAAATTTTCATATTATCTAATACTATTGTCAATGTGATATTGATTGCCAAACAAAATAACAAGACTAATGCAAGTTACTCGAATAATGAAAGAAAGAAAGTAACCATCCAAAGAGATGTTCAAAAATCGTACAGATTGATTTTTAATCTTGAAAAATTAAAGTTCATAGAATCGAACATTTCTGATAAATAGTACTTATAACGGAGAATAATAAAAACAATTTATTATCATAGATGTCTGTTGATATTGACAAAATTTTTAAGATATATGTAAGAAATAGCATAACGTGAAATTATTTGACTGAAACTTAAAAGATCAACGTATCTTATCTATCATACAGAGCTATTATATTACACATATTTCCATCGATTTCATAAGAAAGATGAATTTTTTCCTTCTTTTCTCAAGTAGATGTATCATATCTACATATTTACAACCTATAAAATCCTTCAAGAACACTAATTTATTGTTTTCTTTTTTTGTTATTTATAGTTGAAATTAACAATTGACAATAATCAATCGCATTACACGAATAAACAATCAAATTTCTTTACATAACTTTTTTTTTGTACTAATCTCTTCTTTCATATTAAATGAAAAATATTCAACAATAAAAAACAATTGATACGATTGTTTCTTTAATTGATTTTTTTTTCTTTTCTTTAATTCTCCAGATGTCTGACTATGATGATGATGATGATCATGACATGGCACCTAATTATGAAAATATGCGCGGTATGGGTTTCATTTGTTGGCGTGAAATACCCGCAACAGATGATGAGGTATGCCTACTCAAATTTCTTTAAAAGAAAATATCTCTATGATTTTCTTTGTTAAGGATCATGAGGATATTCAATTAAATAAGAAGAACAAAAATAAAAAGAAAAAACGAAAACTTGATGCGATTGAAACAGAACAAGAAATTGAAACGCCTATTAAAAGTAAAATATAATTTAAAGTTTTATCAAAATAATTCAATCTTTAATAAAAAAAAATATATATATATATATATATTTATTTAGAAGTTAAAAAAAAGAAAAAGAAACGTTCAAATGAAACTCATATGACATCAACACTACAAATAATTGGTGAAAATAATAAAGATGAAGTTGAAACAACTTCAAATAACGATACTATTGGTAAGAAAAACCTTTCTTTCTATTTGTATTCTTAATATTAAAATAAAAAACTAGAAACTGCTAAAAAAGTTTGGTCGGATCTTCATGTCTCGGAAAATATCATTCGTTCATTATTGGAACAAAAATTTTTTGATCCAACTCCAATTCAACGTCTTACTTTACCAGCTGCTATTCGTGATCGTTTAGATATTATTGGTGCTGCTGAAACAGTAATTTCATTTCCTTGTCTTTGATTGAAAAAAAAACATATTTTCTCTTCTCATAAATTAGGGCAGTGGTAAAACATTAGCTTTTGCTATTCCAATTCTTACTCATATGAATCAATTATTAGAAAATAATCAAGTAAGTTTAACTTATGATTTCAAATGAATTAATCCCTTAAGATGAGACTAGAGGACGATTTTTTCGTCCTGTCGGCATTCTGCAGGACGTAAAACAGAGCATCGAAAAATTTATCCTGGCAGGATAAGGAATCCTCCTGCGTCCAGTCTGTAGGACGATCTTTTCATTGCACTTTTGACAAGAATAAGAACCTGCCTGTATATTATGTACGATGTCAAATATTATAGGTGCACTATCTATAATTACAAAAATCATTTATAGACTCTATCATACATTTTCCAGCAAAGATGAAATGAACAATAACAAAAAAATGCTTGAAATCCATAGAATGGACAAAACAATAATAAAACAAACAAAAAGACATATGATTCAATTTGTAATCAATATAATACAACGCGAAGGAATAAGTTTTCTTTTTATTGCTTTTTTCTTAAATTTCTCTTATGAGTTAAATAATCTTTCCACCGACTTACGTAGTATGACATTTACTCTTCTGACTACTATCGATAAAAATGGAAAATCACAATGAATTTCAATAATATGTCAGAACTTCATTGAATCACGATCAATGAGGTAACTTGGATGTCCTGCAGATCATGCTTCCTAAAAAGCGATTGTCCTGTAACGCTTTCTAAACGGGATTACTTTTAAGAAAACAGGAAATTTCCGAAGTGCTGGTGGAATACATTTATTCATATCGATATCAAAAATATGTCTGAAAGAATTTTAGAATATGATAACCTTGAGGGTATAGATCTTCTCTTCAGCCGCACTCTCGCAATGCGCATGATAATGTAATAGATTGATGTTTTGTGTGCTACTGCAGCTCATAAGAGGTGTATGCAAATCAATTAGGAGTTGATTCAAAAGCAAACATATATATACGTCTCCCATCCTCAACAGGTTAATATAACAAAATGATTTTTTAGACGTCCTATGGACAATTTACAAGTCTAATTCTTACACCAACACGTGAATTAGCTGTTCAAATCAAATCTCATATTCAAATTGTCTGTCGTTATACAAAATTCAAAGTATAAAAACATATCATTGAAAAAGGATTAATGTTTTTTTTTATTGTATTTCAAATTAATTTAGACTGCTGTCGTTGTTGGTGGTATGTCAACACAAAAACAAGAACGTTTATTATCACAAAAACCTGAAATAATTGTTGCAACACCTGGTCGATTTTGGGAATTATTACAAGAAGTAAAAATATCCTAAAGAAATTCAATTTGTTTTTTTTTCTAATCTATTTTTTTTTTAGAATAATGAACATATTATTGATATGTCGAATCTTCGATTTTTAGCAATTGATGAAACTGATCGAATGATTGAAAAAGGACATTTTGAAGAATTAGAAAAAATACTTAATCTAATCAAAAAGTAATATTGATTTTTCTTTTTTTCTTTTTTTTTTTCATTTCTTTATCTTTTTATTTAATTTAGTGATAACAATCAATTACGACAAAAATTTGTTTTCTCGGCAACACTAATGTTACAATCGAATATCGATAACGAAAAGAAAAAACAAAAAAAGAAAAAAGACGATAATCAAGATAAACTTGGTTTGTTTACAATTAATTCAATTCTATCGATTTTTGTTTTTTCATTTTATAATCTTTAAGCTACATTAATTTCCGCTGTTGGTATGAGTGCTAAACCTAAAATAATTGATTTAACAAAAGAATTCGGTACAGCTGAAACATTAACTGAAGCTCGTGTTAATTGTTCATTAGAAGATAAAGTTTGTTTCACCAAAAAAAAAAAAAATCATTTGTTAAAATCAAATAATTTTTTTTTTTCTAGGATTCATATTTATATTATTTTCTAACATTATATCCAGGTCGAACATTACTATTTACAAATAGTATTGATTGTATTAAACGATTACAATCAATTTTAACTATATTAAAAAGAAATCCTTTACCATTACATGCACAAATGGAACAAAAACAACGTTTAACGAATTTAGAAAAATTTTCTAGTAAATATTTAAACCTTTAATTCTGACTATTTTATTTTAGTTTTGAATAAATAGATTCCGATAATGGATTATTAATTGCTACAGATGTAGCAGCACGTGGTTTAGATATTCCGAATATAAAACATATTATTCATTATCAAGTACCAAGATCAACAGAAGTAAATTACAATATACTTCAATTGAATTTCCTCCCTTTGTATTTCTTACTTCAGACTATTATAGTTTGCTTCTTTTTTTTCGATAATTGATATATAGTGAGAAAGTAAAAACTTGATTGCATAACATATATTAATCATAAATTACAAATAGAAATCAAATAACGAAAAATACATCAGAAAAAAAAGATAGTAGTTTTTTTTTCACTAAAATATACATTTCATCTAAATTATAAGAAAGTTTATGAGAGTAGTGACGGAAGATTTGTTATTGTTGTCATCGGATAATAGCTTCCTTAAATAAATGCCAAATTACGTTGTCTGATGGTAAAATTTATTGAATACATACGATGTTCATCTAGTGTAGATATAGACAAAGAAACAAACGAGAGGAAACCAGAGAAGATAAATACAGATACTTCTCCAGATCAACAGTACTGCGGTCTCTCACACTATTTTATGTGCTCTGCTGGTTAAACTACTGACGAGAAATGCTCCCCAAGTGATAAAATGCTTTCGAGCTGAGACTGTATTCAGTCGGTTGGGTCTAGTGAGTGAGTAAATATTCGAAGGTTGTTCGAGCTGCTGAGCCTTTGTTGCTGATATTTCGAATGTTTAGGAGAATTTTCCTGGAGAGCCCTAAATTTTGAGCGAAGTCATAGTCCACATAAAGGTAGAGATAAGACTATCCTGTAGAAAAAAAATTCAGAATTCTTTAACCTAGTATCTTCAAGATATGAAGTTTTTTGAAAATATCCATGGTTTTTATAATAATCATAACAAAGCGCCTATATTTTAAAAAACTCATATCTCAAAGAGATTGTATGAAAAAATTCGGAAACTTTTTTCTACAAGCTAGTCTAATCGCTATCTGTATCTGGACAAGGTTTCAGATCAATATTCAAAAGTATAATTTTGCTTGAAAACTACGGCCTTACAGGAAAAACTCACAAAAAGTTCGATATATTAGCAGCGAAGATCCACTAGCTCGAATTACTCTAAGATACTTACTTACTCACGTGATTCTATCGATTGAATATAATTTCGACTTAATAGCGATTTATCACTTAGGAACCTTTCCTCGTCAATATGGAGAAGAATCAACGTATGTCAATCAATATGTATAAAAACAACGGAAAGATAAAAATTTCGATTGACTTTTACTGCAGATTGTAGTAAAAAGAAAATTCCATCTTTTTTTATGTATTTTTTGTTGTTTGATTTCTATTTGTTATTTATAATTAATATATCATACGATGTAGTAAAGTCTATACTTTCTCTCTATATATTCATTGTTGAAAAAAAAGCAAACTATAACAGTCTAAAGTAAGAAATACACAGGAGGGAAATTCAATTGAAATGCACTATACATCGAAATTCACTTTTCTTTTTTATGATAGCTTTATATTCATCGTAGTGGTCGAACAGCTCGTGTTGAACGTGAAGGATTGAGTATAATGTTTATTTGTCCGGAAGAATTATTTCTCTATCGAAAAATTATTAAAACACTCAATCGAAGTAAACAAATTAAAAATTCTTTTTTTTTTCGTTTTATTCTTTTTTTCTTTAGATGAAGATCTTCAAACATTTCCTATTGATTCAACATATTTATCAAATTTAAAAAGACGTGTTCGTCTTGCATCTGAAATATCTAAATTACATCATCAAGTTGCTAAAGTAGCAAATGAAACCAATTGGTATCATAAAGCAGCTAAAGAATTAGATATTGAATTAGATGATAATATTCGGTAAGCAAAGACGAATCAAAAAAAAAAAAATTTCAATATCTTAATTTATAAATTTGAATAAATTATAGAGATGTTGAAAAAGCTAAAACAGCAAATACAAAAGATACTCAAAAAAAAGAAATTCAATTACGTAATGAACTTGATCTTTTATTAAAACATCCATTAAAATATTCATCATCATTAAATATAAGTCGTTCATATCCACTTCTATTTGGTGATCCTGATCAATTAGCATCAAGACGAAGTAAGATAGAGAGAGAAAGAGAAAAATTTTATTTGATTGATTGATTCATTGCTGTTTTTTTTTCTTCTTTTCTTTCGTTTAGAAAATGATATGACTGCATTAGATGAATTGAAACATCGATCATAACATGTCATTTCTTTTTTTTTTTTTGTTTTGTTTTTACTGAATAAAAAAAAAAAAAATGTCACACACTTCTGATGATGGATGACTGAACACCACAGGATGTCATGTAGTTGTATTGTTTGTCTCAAGCACTCGAAAACACAGTAGGCTATCTGAGCACTGTCCACTTGAGCTCATTACTACCTGCAGGCAATAGAGAAAAATCCGTTTTCTTTCCATTGAATAACGTAATAAACTATATATTTATTTAGTTTGTTTGAAACACAAAAAAAAAATAGAAAAGAAATGTTTATTTATGGTTTTTATTTTTTATTGTAATGGTTTTGATACACCACATAATGTATGAAGTTGAGCAAGTTGATAACGAAGTGTTTGATTTTCCATTAATAAACGTGAATTTTCATGTTCTAAATATTGTAAACGTTCTTGTGTTTGTTGTTCTTTAAGACGACGTGCATCACGTGAACGTTTAGCTGATTCATTATTACGTGCTCGTTTTTCATAATAAATCGTATCTTTTTGTTCAGGTGGTACAGCACGAGCACGTTTTTTAAATGGTAATGATGGACATAAATCATTTTGTGTATAATCTTGTTTAAGATGAAGAATTTTCTGACCATTTGCTGTTGATGTTATATCACCTAAAACTGATGTTGATGGTGATGGTGATGTTTGACTATCATCATTATTATTATTATTTTCATCATCATCAATATCACTTCGTGGTTGTTTAAGATTATTTGTATGAGATGATAAATCAAGACCAGTAGTATAACCACTATAGGATAATAAATGTGCTGAACTATTGTTTGATGATGGACTACTTGATGATGTATTTATACCAATTGAATCATTTAAATAATGATGTGGATGATGAAGTGACATTCCATAATCAGATTTTCGTTGTGCTGTTGGTGCATAGGATAAAAATGATGGATAACCAGTTGGATGATGAGAATAAACAGCAGCACTGTGCATGATTGGTGGTTAAACTAAAAAAAAAAATATAAAACATGTAAATTAAGGAGAAAAGTCTTTTTTTTTAAGAAAAATCTTCTTATTGTTTTTGAACACAAGTTTACCACCCGTTGTTATTTGACATCGATGAATTGAATACATAGATAAATAAAATATGATTTGTACTTACTTTATATTTGTTTCTATCGTTTACTTACGAAACAAATAATCTACAGATTTGTTTTTTTGTATCTTACGTCAGGCGTTGGCTTAGAATTACGCGATTTTTGTTGTTGTTGTATTGTTGTTGCTCAATGTACGCGTGCTTGAACAATTGTGTTGCATTAAACTTAAGAGTTTCGCTGATATCAATTGTTAGCGAAAGAGAGAGAGAGAGAGAGAGAGAGAAAAGAAAAAAACAATTCTCTCTCTCTCTCGTTCCACCTTGACCTTGAGATTACGTGTTCATCGTCTCGCCGCCGCCCGTTTTCCTCTTTTCGATTACGAAATTCAACCAACCCGATATCATAAAACATTGACATAATTTCTTTAAAGAAACTGATTGGTTTACTTGCGTCATTTCTTGACCGTTGTTATTCAAGTTAAAGAGAACGAGATATAGAGAGAAACAGAGTTATCTCGGATTAACTATCGGTCATTGGATAAGACAAATGTTCTTGTCTACATGACAACTTTTCGTATTAGGACAAAAACTACTGATCAATTAGTTGTCAAAAATGGCACTTCATTGATCAATTGTCAAAAATCGAAAAAGAAGTTGAACTTATCGAACAATTAGATACGATATAGAAAAATAAAACAAAACAAAACAGAAACTAATCATTTATATTTAACAAACAGAAAATACAGGAAATCATTATATGAAATATTATTTTGTCTTGTATTTGCTAAATTCAAATAGAAATTTTCCCGTGTCACATCCGATAGACAAAACAATAAAATAGTTTGATCTGTATGAAACAAATTGATTACATAAGTAACAAAACTAACCGACAGAGATGTGAATCAAGCGTAAATAGTGAATTGCAGCGATTGAGCTGCTGTCACTGTATTTCGCACATTGAATTTTTTTTTTTTTTTCTTTTTTATCGTCGTCCCAGATGGGATTCCCAATTATCGATTGAGTAATCTTACGTGTACATTTACACACGCTTGTTCAGTCGCGGTTATCAATAAGTGTATATATGTTTTTCTCGCGTATTTATGTGTGCAACCGAAAAACGATTTGCCGCGTTAGACTTGTATGCAATTAGCTAGCAAGATAGACAAGCTTTAAAAAAGTCATTTAAGATAATGCATGAGTTGAGTTAAATGTGTGTGTGTGACAATAAAAATTTATTTCTTCATGTTATAGAATAATCAAAAAGCAATTGTCGAATGCCTTGGAGATTAAGGTTTATTCGTGCTCATTTGCCAGTCGTCGTAATAACATATGTAAGAGTTTAGTGACGTGTAGATTGAAATGTGAAATTATCCCTGAGGATAAAAAATTTGAAAAAAAAAAGAAAAGTAAATTTAAATTTTAAATTAATCTTTTTTTTCCGGATAATTTAGAGATATAAAATATCTTTTTTTTTTTTTTCTTTTGAAATTTTGTTTTTTTTGTTCCTCATCCTTTAGGATTGACAAGTGTGTGTGTGTTCTCTTTTTCTGTTTTTATATTCTCTTGTTCAAACGCGCCAAATTACGTTGGTCGAATGATCAGAGACACACATTGACATATCAATCACGCTAATACGCCTTTTCCTTGGTCACACTTAACCAAGCATTATTCTCTTTTCTTTCCTCTTAGTTGACCGTTCGAAACGTTTCCTCATTTCGTTTCATTGCACACACACACACACATGAACCAAGGCATAAATTCGGTCAAGTATGTATGTATGAAGCCAACAAATAACAAAAAAAGTTCATCTCCCTCTGGAGATCATTAGGAAAGCTTAACTTCTAAATATTATGATTTAAATCAAAAGCAAAACACATCAAACTGTTTTTTTTGCGTCAGTCTAATTGATATTTTCAATCGATAAGTATTCACAGCAGGAGCTGTCGATCATCATAGACCAAGAATTCCCTAATCTCGTTGTCAAAACCAGACATATAATATACATACACATACATATACACACGCAAACTTAAGAACAATCAGGAAAAAAAAAGTTTATTTCCACTTGATGATACCGCTTTTCATCTTCAGTTCATTTTGATTTTATTACAATTTCATAAACTTGACCAAGATATGCAAATGAATAAAAATAGAAAAAGAAATGTTCCCATCAATATAATCAAATATTTGCTAAAATCAATGCCTAAAGCAATATAATAATACATGAATTTCATCAATATCTAATTGCAATGTTAATGATCATTTATTCTGATTAGTTTGACAGAATATGAAATAAGAAAAACAAAACAAATTCGTTATTCGTGTGATAAGCATTTGGTGTCAACTAAGATATGAAATGACAAGCATATGGACAGTAATTGAAGCGTAGATAGTTTTTATGTAATATGTGAAAAGAAAAATAAATAGTTGAACATATTTTTGATTCATGCAGAGAGTCTCATCAGTAATGAAAATAGACAATATGAAGGTTGAATGATTTTTTCTTTCGTTCTCTTCTATGCAATGTTTAGAAAAAAGCTTAGAAAATCTGATCTCTTCACACGCTGTTTTCTCAAGGTCAATACACTTTTAACGATGTGATCGAATTGCGTTTTTTTTCTTATTCATTCATTTCCTGTTAATGCTTCTTTTTCGTCTTCGTTTACTTGAGTCAACAGCACGCAATGTCCACACACACATACACAAAAGAAATGATCAAATAAATGTGTATATATGAAGCGACTTTTTAATGATTTCGATCACGCTCATACCTCCTTTCCAATTTGTAAAATGAGATTTTCCTTTTCTTTTTTTTTTTTTTTTTATAACAGGTGCGAATAGTTTTACTCTTCTGTCTATTATCGAAAGATCTGATCAATGAATGATGATTCGTTTTTCAAAAATTGACAGGCTATTTTTAATTGAACTAAACTAAAAAACAAAAAAATATATATATGTGTCTACTCGTGCGCGCCCATGAGCACAAAACTGTAATTGAAATAAAAAGATCAAACATGGACACGGCAGGGCTTCAGGTGATGACAGGAAGAGAGCGATCATGGGTTTGTCACCTTACATCAGTCATTGCCGACTACATTCATCATTGGAGATAGTCAATCTTTCTTTTTCTCGATCTGTTCTATTGCATTAACACTTGTTCTCAAAATTTCGATTAAGAAAAAGAATTATATGTATGTGCGTGTATGTATATTGATGGAATGTTCAGCTTGCTATGTTAATATATGCACACGCAAATTGCTTGACCAATAATAATAACAATAATAACAAGCTAGAAGATATCTATAAGAGACATCATCAACAAGCAACGAACGAATATAAATAAAGCTCATCATCTATCATGCTGTGAGTTATACAAAAGTCAATAGCTTACTTTGCACTTTGAAATCACTTGAGATATTTTATCAGTGAAATATTTCTTCAGTCTATTTATGAAATAAACAATCGTTTTTTTTTTTTGAAATTATTATTATTTTTGTTTTCGTGATAGTCCATCTCGATTTTAAACTAGAAGCTTCAATTATTTGTGATGAAAATTAAGTTTGCTCTATAATCTTATAAGTTTAGTCTGGGAATTAATCTTTTGAACATAGGTGGAATTATCTAAAAACAAAAATGTACTGTTTTTACACTCTCAATTTTAAGTTGTCCGTTATTGAATTTTTAAAGTAATGATTCAATGTTAATTCATATATTCATTTTAACTGATACAAGCGAAAATACCTTATCAAAACTAAATTTCGAATTTACGACGCGCTTTTTGTACAGTAATATCAAAAAAAAAATTTCTTACATCGAACTATTTGGAAGAGGACGAAAAAAAATGGACGAATTGTATGCAAGTTTTCTTCATTTTTAGTTTTTTTTTCTCAGTCGAAATTAGATTATAAACAGGTTCTACCTT